GATAGATAGATAGATAGATAGATAGATAGGTAGGTAGTTAGGTAGATAGATAGATAAAGTTACAGATACGAATAGAGGAAGAGATAATATGCAAATTAACATAAATGTCGATAAACAAATAGAGAAATATAGAAAAAAAGCAATATGGATAGTTAGATATATGGCGATAAATATATAGATAGATAGGCTGAAGGAAGTTTATATCCTCCACCCTTTTTGTTTTTTCATCCAATTTAATTGAAACCTTGTGCTTTGCTCCACACAGTTTGCCGAAGTTCGTTGCGAGTGTGCCTCGAAACCTCGCCTTGGCTCGAGGCTGTCGAGGAAGCGAAGCGTGTCCGCGTTCGCGTGGACGACATGCCAGCGGCCCTTCATCCTGTCGGCACGGCAACCACTTCTATCCGCCTCGGAGACGACCGCAACGAGGCAGACGAGCGCACCGACCAAGTGACCGGCAATCCAACCGCCTCGGCCAGAAGCCTCACGTTCATCGGCTCGGTCGTCCGACCAACCCACGGACTCGTCTCACGCGGCCACCAGTTGCTGAGGCTCGACTGCGACGCCGTCGCTAGCCCGGCAACTGACGACCAGTCGTCTGGCAACCTGATAGATCCAGCCAACCCAGTCGAGTCAACGAACCCAACGGGTCCGACGAACTCGAGGGATTCGGTTGACTCGGCCGATTCAGTCGACTCGGCCGCCGGATTCAGCCCGCCCATCGAATACGCAGTCCCCTCGGGCCTTGGAGACCTGTTGCCAGGGCCAACCGTCGCATCTTCCGCGACGAGCATGATGGCGGCCACGCCATCATGGTACGAGGCTGCGGCAGCGGCAGCTGCTGCCGCCAGCGACCAGCAGCAACGCCTCACAAACGAGTACAACGAATACAGTGAGTTCCAGGTCTCTATTTTCACGGTATCCAAGTGACGTCTTTTTAAAAACGGCCCAATAACCAGTGACCCGGTAACTGGGTTGGTACCAGAATCGAATGGATCAGCTCGGCAACTTTGTGGGCGTTTCTTTGAGAGTTGGGTTTCGAAACAGCACCCTCCGCTGTTGCCGTCAAGGTTGTTTTGTCTCGAGGCGGACACGGATTGCGTGTCAAAGCGGCTGTTGATGACGAGCCTGAAGGGTTGCTTTGTGCTGTCGCCTAGTCGCCCGATTTCGCCACAACCAAGTCGAGCGTTTGGTCGTCATGCCGGTTGATGGGCAATCGTCTGGAGTGGAACTGCCCACCCCTCCTCAATGCCATCTCAGACGCAATCACCCTTCAGCCATGACAGACGATGTCTGTGTCTTGGATACGGCCCAACGACGACCCCCCAACAGCTCGGCGGGACTCGAACCAAGGACAGTTGAGTGGGCAGTGGAGCCGGGCTGGCGTCCACACGTCCACAATCGGGTGTTTGCTGGCAGCAATCGCCTCTAACAGGAATGTGTGGGGGGTGGGGCTGTATCGGAAAGAGGGAAGAAGATGGAATCTGGCATAAACCGATTAGACCAAGTTGCTCATCATTCGGTCGTCCGGCTTGTCAGGTTGTGGCGTAAGCCGACAGTCGATGCGATAATGTAGGGCAGGCAAACCGATTAACCCGAGGCCTGTGCGAGTCAGGCTTAATTCGGAGGGGGTGGGGAGGGGACGGGAGGATGAGCTCGTGGAGAGGGGCCGAAACGAGGCCTGTCTTCTGCTGCCTGTTGGGGCTCAGGGGGCTTGATGGCTTTGCTTTCGCGATTAGGCCAAAAAAGCAGCCCAAACTGGAGAGAGCCTGCAACGATTATCGGCGGGAAAAAGGTGTATTGTGTGTTTTTCTTCCACCCGCGTCTGTTAAGGAGAGGGTGTGGAACGGAGGGTGGGCCCGAGGCGAGAGGAAATGGACAAACTGGGACAGATATCGGACCAACTTGGGGTTGGACCGCACTTGCTGGACGAGGATGAGGGCGAGTTTGGCTGTCCGCCGAAGGGGTCTCGTTCGAGCCCGTCGGGCCGATCGGTGAGCCGATTAGT